TTTTACTTTGACACATGCCTGGTCAATTGGACAGGGCTAATGACTCCGCGGGGAGAAAACACTTCGAGAAGAACCAAGGAGGAGGAGAAGTTGTAGATGCGATTTCCAGGACAAAAACTCTATTCACCTGATGCTTCAGATGTCTTCTCGAACCCATCCTCAGAGGTAGAGGAGAAGGCAACTGTCCCTGATGATGCTGGGTTCGATAAAGAATTCGAAAAGTCAGACGAATACAGTTCTTCTTCCAGCGATCGCATCTACCCGATCGCAATTACCTTCTAGGACTTGCATTTTCGCTCGTGTTCTGGCAATTTGTTTGGGCGTGGTGCGTGCAGATAGGCCCCACGATGGAACACTTTTGTCCGTTGAGAGGCCTCTACATATTTGCAGATTTGAGGAAAGGTGTTTCATATAAAGCCCTCAGTAAACATGGAGCTGCCGGGACACATAGTGTTTCAACACTTAAGCGAAGACAAGTGTATTAAGGGAAATATAGGTAAACGCCTTTGAACTCCCTAGTGGTACAGTGGTGAAGAAATGAATCGGTACAGCCGAACATTTAAAAAAGAGGTCTTTTACATAATTCTAGGCGGCTACTCACTTGTTCCACGTAATATACTCACATGGGGTGATGTCAGTTAACACGAGCCAGCAGGTGTAACTGAGCAAAAAGAGCAAACAGTGAAGAAAACTCCTAAGGCATGGCTCAGAATTCAAAATGTGGAATGTCATTTGTGGGATTTTTAAAAGAACAACTGACGCTCGTGGGAGAAAAGTATGTGCCAGGTAGGACCGACTCTCTACTGAAAATATTTGCGGCAAGCCACGGGGAGCCCATCGAGTCTTATATCTTTATCCGAAGGATCACACGAAGAGAATACCGCAGAGTCACGAGAACACCCCGAAGAACCGGAGATGCGAGCATGACATGCCCTTGATTTTGGCCGCGATGTTCGCCATTTCGGAACCCTCGGATTCAAGTTGGATTTGTCGAACCTTGCTTTTTTGTTTATATTTGAAACACCACGTGCTTTTTCTTTTTATACACGCATTAAGTTATAATAATTTAATCTAATATTTTCAACTTTTATATTCAGTATTTTTTAAATATTCTGTACTGCACTGTGGTATGCTCCACCCTTATTGGTTGCCGTGGTGAAGACATTAGATTGTCCTTACCTTATCCTTACCCTTACCTGAATAAGTACATATTATCTTTAGAAGGAATTATACAC